AAATAATGTAAATCAACAAATGCTTATTAAGCTTTGAAATATTTATAGATTCTCATCTGTCCTTAAATGATCTCTGCACTATGCATATACCTGGTGGTCAGTTTATGAACAGGTTTAAAGAGCTAATTAACAATTTGTAATAAATTCCTATTCATTCTTAATCAAAATTCTTTTATGACAATTTTTCAAATTAGATTTAGATAGTTGTATTATTTCTCAACATAAAAAGTTTATCAAAGTTTGATATTTTAATCTTTACAATCTTTAAATAGTCTTATGCCAGGGGCACAAACATGCTCAGTTGAACAATGAAAATGCTCTGTGAGATAGCCTGCAGGAATAAATGTTTTAGGGGCAGGTCAATTTGGTTAGTCAGAGGCCAATAACATGAGGGCATGGCTAAAGTTTTCTTTAGCTGTGTTTTGAGAGGTTAGTGGCTAGTGAGTAGGGCATCGCAGCAAAATACAAATTTAAAATTAACTTTTGAAAGTTTCTAATATTTTTGTGAACTGGATAGCACAGTAAGGGTTAATCTGTGTAGACACTAACTTGTCATCGTCTTGTTAACTCATTAACGCATCAGCGATCATTACCTGACACCGATCGACCCCATACCGGGATCTTGCTGGGATCTTGCTGGGATCATTACGGTGTGGAACGGATGCACACCTACAGTGATAAATTATAGTTATCTGTTCAGAGTTAGAAGGTGTTAACTCTGTGTTAAAGTACATGGGTCAATGCCCTTCTAGCGCCAAAAGATGATCTGAAGAAAAGAAAGAGGAATGGTGAGAGGTGCTCATTAGCAACAGTCACGACTCATTAAACTCTAATTACATCGGCTTTATACCGCTCACACCAGGAACTGGAATGACACATTAATGTCCTTTCGGAATGCTAACCTCCTCCTGAGTGATGGGTAGGGTGAGGGTGATGGAGAAACAAGATTCAGATGAGACAAAAGAAAAGAAAGAGAGATCTTGAGAGTGTTAGAATAGGAAACTTGATGGCAAAAAAGTACATGCACCTAGCCACTTTTGAAGTCGCACTGCACTACTTGTAGCTACTTGCTCCCTCTATATAGAAAACTTCCCCAATCAGTGCCTGTTGGTCCCCCATGATCCTTTTTTTCTTATGTTAATTGAGAGCTGAGTTAATGAGATAGCCACCTGCCAGTGACCTCGCTGTGTGGTCTAATCCCTCCTGTTCACTAGTACAGATGGGTTTTAAAGGACTTACATGCTCACACATACTGTTGGTATGTAGAACCGCATAAAAAGTGTCAATTTGTACGTAATACAATAGCAACTACTTCAGAAAAAAATGAACCTAAAGCAATTTTAATAGCCTTGTGCATCACCTATTGAAATGTGTGAACGTGAAAATGGTGTATTATGTAACCTGAATATGATGTTTTTTGCCCTTGAGTTGATTTTTCTAAAATAGTTGGGATTGTGTTTTCTTATGATTTAAAAGAACATGAATATGAGAGCGATTGTAGAAAACTACCAAGTAGAAAAGGACACATATTGAGGAAGAGGGTGAAAAGAGTAATGATAATCTTCAATGTAAAGTACATGTATACCTCAACTCTATTAGTGTTTTCCAGATATTTTTATTTTAATTCCAGATGGCGTTTTATGGCAAGGAATTGGTTTAAATGTTGAAAGGGAAATACACATCATATGTTCGGTGTTAGAAGGGTGTCATCTCTGTGCCAAAGAACATTGTATATGAAGTAACGCCTTCTGGTTCCAAACAGACAATATTGTTTTAGACCAGGAAGTGTACTCTTTTTGTAAACCATTGATCTGTTGTGTGGAAAGTGTTAATTTGTAATTGTAAGTGAATTACAAAAGTACCTTGGTCAGTTCAATCTAAATCACATAGAGGACATTGTACTGTGTTCATGTCAAAGAGCCAACGGTATTGAGACAAAGTAGAGAATAGCTTTCTTTTACCTACAATCTAAATTGATATATATTAAAGAAATAATCATATCAAACCTTCCATTAAATTACCATTATATCACAATAACTCAACAATGTAACACAGACTGTTTTTAGGATTGCAGAGGACTGTTAAATAGTCTATTGCAATCTATTTTTTGTTGACTTGTTGTGTACAATGAATAGTTACAGCAGCCAACTATTTTTGCTGAAAATAAATGAATCTAAATCATAACTTTGACATAGTCCTGAACAAATGCAAATGTTCAGGGACATTGTCATTTTGAAGGAAACAAAAGTCAATTTTTATTTGATTTCCTGTTACACATATGATTTTCATCATTATAAACTGGTATTTTCTTTTCTGCAAGCCCAATTAAGGTGAGAAATGTGCTGTTTTAAATGCTACTTGTCTAAACAGGTGATTTACATGTTGCTGTATACCTGACCTACCTGTTTACTTACGTAAACTGCTAGGTCAGGCATTCTGACATTCACTAGCTTTACACTAATGTGAATTGATACGATGATGACAAGCTCACTGTGTAACACACCTGTAATATGATTAGTTCGGACATTTCATAGTGTACTTGCGGTCACATGGAAGAGTGACAAGATAATTAAATAAAAAGATCATTTAACGCTCAAATGTATGTGTTGAGTGCTACTTTTCACTTTTCTACATTAAAACTTGTCCTTACTTTATACCTCGCTTTATTTAGGAAGGCTTATTTTTAGGATGAAATGAGTCAGCATTGATTTTCAATATACATGTATATGATATAAATATATATATATCATGTTTAATTCCAAGGTGACATATCATTTATCAAAAGGCTAATGCCCTACTGACTCTTAACCAAGAATAATGAGTCACCATATTCATCTCTTACAACATTTCATTTGTGAGATGTAACTCTTTCATAAAAATTCTTTGAGATGATTTCCACAATAGGGAGATGAGAAAACAGAAATCTCTGTTGATATGGTTTGTTTGTTATGATTTAATTGCATTTTAGGTGTAGGAATACTGGATGATTTTAAAACTTTAAAGAAAAATGTAAAAATGTAAAAAGTTAGCATTCTGCATGTATTTTAGACCGTCAGCTTCAGATGGTAAAGAAGGGTTGTGTTTTAGGTTTTTTTAAATTTAATGTGTCTCAGAAATGGAAACACAGAACATTTTACAGAACATTTTGCAGAACGTTTTTCTCCAATGTCTTCTCAACAAACATAGAAGGAAACATAATATTATGTAATAAAATGGAGAAATACCATGAATGGTATAAGATAAGTATAAGACATCCACCATGTCTACATCTTAGCTAGATAAACTATTGATTTGGTACTGATCCGCAATAAGTCTCCTCACCCCCTCTCTGTCTCTCTTTCTTTCTCTCTCTCTCTCTCTCTCTCTCTCTCTCTTCTCTCTCTCTCTCTCTCTCTCTCTCTCATTCCCTGTCCCTTGCTCTCTCTCTCTCTCAATTACATTAAATTCATGTATTCACTGAATATATAAAAACATACATAAAACTGTATGAATCCATATAGCAAATATAAAAAGATGGACATAGTATTCAGTAGTTGAAAGCACAAGTAACATCAATCTCTCTCTCTCTCTCTCTCTCTCTCTCTCTCTCTCTCTCTCTCCCTGTCTATCTGTCTGTTTCTCTCTCTCTCAGTTTCTATATTTTCTTTTTCTTTATCTCACTCTCTTTGTCTCTCACCGAAAGCATATGGCAAGTCCAATTTTAATTGATTACAGGATCTTTGTTAATTTATCTTGTGGGATTAGAAACATAAAAGAGCTCTGCAAAATTTTGCTAAATTGAATTCATTCTTAATAGTCACTTGATACATGTAGCACAATATGAAAAATTGTATTCACTTCTGTAGCCTATGCTCCTACTTGATACTTTCCTTTAAGACATACTTAAGAGCCATCACTGGATGACATTAAGATAACTGGTATTGAAACTGACATGTGCGGTGAGTTTGGAATGCAATGAATGAGATAGCAGGCATAACACGTCAACCATTTACCAATTGTACACTTAGACCAAAGTGATTGGTATATCTTCGTCTTTCAACTACCAACATGAAATAACTTGTGAATTGAATCAGCTCAGGTACGAGTACTTCATGACCTGTGTTGTGATGAGATGGTTTTGGTTACTATTGTGGTTACTTGCAGTTACATGTTGGTCTAAATCTTTATCTTGTGGTGTTTTGTTGTAGTCTGTATATACCCTACAGCTCACTTTCTTGATATTTTCATACATGTGTTTAAATTCTGACTACCTGTACTTCTCTAGTTTACTCCTTGTCTCTCCCTTCAGTTTGTGTGTCTGTGTGTCTGTCTGTCCATCTCTGTCTATGTCTCTCTTTCTCTCCGTCTGTCTATCTCTGTCTCTGTCTCTTGTTGTGTTTCTGTCTGTCTCTCTACCTGGATGTCTGTAGATCACCCCTCTCACCCCCTCCCCCTGCTACATGTATAATATAAGACCCCTCTTCTCTCTTTCCTCTCTTTTCCCTCTCTTTCCTCATCCATCCTTCAATCTTTCTTTATTTGTCATTAAAATATTTTTCCTTATGGATATAATTCCCTATCACACTTTTTTTTTCTCCATTTCTCTTTTTTAATTCTTTATTTAATATTCTATATATTTTTTTAAATAAAGTAACTGAGTGCTTGTATAGTTCACTGAGAAAGAGCACTAGTTTATCAAATACTCTTACATTATAGAAAGCAGCATCTATAATTGTGTACGTTGTATACGTACGCCACACCCAGATAAGAGTTTTGAAGAAGATAGAAGGGGTCAAAATCAACCCTTTGAAAGATGCAAAAATGAGATACCAAGGAACATATATAGTAGCAGTGTCCCTACACAGTTGTTGGCCTTCTTTTCTAATCATTTACTTTCATTGATAAAGATTGATTAGTAATTATTCTTCATTTTCTAGATTGATTTCCTTGTGTTTGAAATGAAAATATTGACAGGCCTATATTTTACATATTTGTGTCAATTTTTGTTGTTGTCATTTCAGATCTGTATTTGATCGGGGCAGGGAGTAACAGACATCCTGTGTGAGCACTGAAAGGTAAGAAACTGAATTTGTATAAGTTTTTAAAAAGAAATAATGAAATAGGAGTATAGTTTGAAACTTCTTTACATAATTTCAGAAAGCTTGTATGCAAGTTGAAAACAATTTATGAGCACTTATTGGGTATTGATATATTGGCTACTGGTATCATCTATTTGTATTACTGAATGTTGATTTTTCTTACAAGATAAGTACTTGAACAAGACATGATCTTAAAACTTGTTTAATAAAACAAGATTTAAACTTAATTAAGCCTATAGAAAGAAGGAAAGAGAAACTCATTCTCAATTCTTTACTCTCGGCTTGAAAAAGTTTGTAAATCCTTGTGCTGTAATGGGGCTACTTACAATGTAGGAGATTGCGCTTAATTTAATTACTGGTTTTAAGATTGATCCTGTATTAATTTGTTTGGCTAGAAGTCTTTTAACCTTGCATATAGGCTCAGTCTGGCTTAAATCTTTCTTGCGCAGAGCTTGAAACATGTCGTGCTCAGAACAAGTTTGCACGAATTGCATGATTTAATAGCCTTGTCATTTGTGTGACGGTAGCATGAGTCAGCCATTACATGTAACTGAAAATTGCCAGTTTTTAATCGAGTATTATATTGTCTATGAACACAGATTGGGAGTTGCCAAGTTAGGTCTGATATTGTTGTATAGAAAACAAAAGGCATCATATTATATTTCAGTAGATATTTGTATTGTAGGATGTGTATGGCCGGTACAGCTATACATGATGCAGAATTTTCACTTTTTTTATAATGTTTTATGATGCACTTAACTATATCATGATCCTCTCCTTATATATGAGTGAAGATATATAATACTTATTGACTTCACTCATTAACCACAAAGTGGTCTAGGCTTCACTATTTGATACTTGTTTTAATAAATTGTATTAAATACATAGCTGTTTTCTGTTTGGAAGCTATGCATGATTTTTGAAAGCCATTCTGATGCAGATTATAGTGTTTTGTGATGTATAATCATGTCTCAGTTAATTTCTGAAAATTTGTTATCAGCATGATGAAGAGGGATGTTAATAAGGAGGCTCTGTCAACAAGAAGCAAGAATTTGTCCTTGTTACCAATATCATATACCCCATTCCGCCATGGGTCAAGAATGTTGGTTTTAAATTCATCAAAAGGTCTCGTCTATCCTCACTGCTTGAAACGGATGAACCAAGAAGGCTGGAAGATTGCATTTCAGAATTATATTTTTAGGGAAATCTGAGCTAGTTTTACTGGGCTAGTTTTAGTTCAGCTATTCCATAGTGGAGGGAGGGAGAGGGAGAGAGAGAGAGAGAGAGAGAGAGAGAGAGAGAGAGAGAGAGATTATTGAGATTGAGAGAAACTGGAATGGAGAGAAATGAGAGGGAGAGAGAGAGAGAGAGAGAGAGGGGAAGGGAGGGGGGGGGGGGGTGGGAGAAGGAGAGGGAAAAAAGGAATATAAAAGAGGAATTTACATTCTTACAATATATGACATAAGGCTTTCTGAGAGAAAAATGCTTCCTGATCCTGATCAATAAAAAAAACACAATAACAACAGTCATAATAAAACAGGAACAAGAACATTGAAAATCAAAGCCTGTTGAATTCTTTGTTCTACAAAACAAAATTATTAGTGACAATTGATAATTGGAAAGAAAAAAATTGAATTAGTGTAGAAGCTGAAATATTATCATTTATGCCATTTTATGATTTATGACTAAGTGCAGCATGCTTTGGGTGCAGTCAGTGTTTGCTGCTTTGAATTATAAAAAACCCAGAAGTGGCAATTTAAGTGAGGAAAGCCACAGAAAAAAATATTGACCAAGGCTCAGGACACTACTCATCACCAGTGACTTCCATTTTTAGGAGCTTTAGCACAGATGACCAAAGGTCTGTGACACCAAAGACCTGTGGGAGAATAAAAATGTACACTTTTGGAACTTAGCTTTTTTGGTATATAGTTTCTTTGGTTTATTGATTAACATTGAATTTTGGATGTCCCTTCTCCCTTTAGGGATAACTACAACAAATTTAATTCCATATTTTTCCAGAGTCATAGTGCAGTTCTGTTCCTTTCAGAGGACTTATTATTTTGTGAATTAGTAGGATGCTAGATACAAAACATGAATATTTTTGTTTGTTTGTTTGTTGGGAGGGGGGGGGGGGGTATATTGTCTCACTTCTAATAAAAATTGTTGATGCTAGCTATACATCTACTGGTACGCTTTTTATACATTTAAGTAAAAAGAGATTTCTGAAGAGGGGGCTTTGTTTTTTTCTACCATAACCCTTGCAGTCTTATTCTGAAGCTGTTCCGGGATATATGCAATTATGTTATGTATTCAATAGGTAATAGATATTAAATACATCAGGATATATGATCATTACCATAATTGTTTTTGTATGGGCAATTGACCACAGGGTGATGAGTTATGCTTGCTAATAAGGCTAATTCGAAACAGACATGAATCATTTCTCATGGATAATTTCCAGATCTGTTCTACATCGGGTTAGGGTTAAGAAAGGACACCATCCTCCAGAACAATTGGTCAGTGACTCCATCGAAGGTAGAGGAAAGGGAGGGGAGTTCCCCTTATTTAAGTAATCAATTAGGATGGAGTATTGCTCATAACGGAATTCCGCTGTACGTAATCAATTATGATGTGAATGTGCATGAAACGGCAATACGGTCAATGAATAGCTTGGACAATTACAAAAACTTAGGATTTATTAAATATGTTTTGAACTTTTTTTATTATTTAATTCACTTTATTTGTTTTTTTAATGATTTTACCAAGGGGCTATATACCTCGAAAAATTATTAGACAAATAGCTATGTACATGTTTATCATAGTTCTTCTTTTTTTAAGAATAAAAGTGCAGTTGTCAAGAAATTAAAAACATGAACAATTCTTATTACTGCATTTTACGATGGTAGTAAGTTCTATCAATTTAAAAGGAAAACGAAAATGGAGCAAGACTGTTCTCTCTGAGATAGTGGATATTTTTCACCAATACTTTATTGCCATAGTCACAAATTTTCACAAAGCCTACCTAAATGTCATGGAACAATATTGTATTTAATATTCAGAGTTAAATTAATATATGTAAACATTCATAAACTTTTGAAAGAAATTTCTTAACTTATTGTATACCTTAAAATCTATCTGCACTATTTTGGCCAGGAGGGATTAGACCTCCCCGCATGGTCACTGACAGGTCTCATCAAATCAGCTCTCAATTAACATAAGAAAAAGGGAATCATGGGGACCAACCGGTACCGCTTAGGCATTGTTTGCTATATAGAGGGAGCAAGTAGCTACAAGTAGGACAGTCCCACTTTAAGATATAAATGGACCATCTTTTGATTGATGTGAAACATTTTCTGATAGCAGCGCTGCGTGTGAAGAAGCTATAAACACAAGGTGAAATGTACTCTGCCTAATTACTAGAAGTCAATCATGTTTCTGAGTCACATCTTCTAGAAGTTTACAAACATCAGAGTTTTCCGAGGACAAATATTATGGGTATCCAGCGAAACATTAATTCATGAATCACCTCTGGATCCCCTTGTGTTTGACTTTGCCAAGAGACAAGAAACATGGTAACTGGGTAAATTCCGCTTCCCATTACATTAGTACAGTCATTTTGGAGGATGACGATGTTTAGAGCGGAAGAACGATGGTGAGTGTTAGCGGAACAAGGATGTACCTAGTATGGCCTAGTGTTGGTTGTAGAGGGGGCTTGGAATGCTCAAAAACCAGCCCCCCCCCCATCAGCCCCCTCCCCCCCCCCCAAAAAAAAAAAAAAAAAGAAAAAAAAAGAAGAAGAAGAAAGATATGAATAATAAAAGATTTAAAAAAAAAAGGAAACAAAGAAATAGAAAATAGAAAATTAAAGTTCTTGATTAGAAATGAACCCAAGTGATGCACATGTACAAAATGAAAGTAAGAAACCCCAAGCCCCCCCCCCCCCAGCAACCCACCCCCAGCACCCCGCCCCCAGCACCCCACCCCTCCCAAAACTATTCATTTAGAGGCGTGCCTTGCTGGTTGTACCTGCATGCAGAGAAAAAAAAGACATCCCATGAAAGGCAACGGATGTTGTGTTTAGGGTTAGTTAGTCACACTAAAGTGATTTGTCTAACAGGTAATGAAAAGGGTAGAGAGTAAAATGATTTAAATCAAATTGATTATCAGTAATTGTTGCACCTGCATGAGCCAAATGCAAGGTATCATTCAATATATTCACTCGAAAGAGGATGTAAAAGATGCAATCAAATTAGGTAGCTGTCATTTCTAATTTGGTGTTCCTGAATATTCGCAGTATTCAGTGGCCAACAATCTCATGTATTTTTTTAAATATTGACTTTATTCACAAAGTCTTGACATTACCAGTTATCATATAGTTAAAATTATACCAAGGACATTACTTTATGAATGATTAAGCTTAAAGTTAGTGTGAAGTATAATATAAAATCATATTAAACAACAGGATTAGATTATTGAGATCAAAATCTTATGAAGATGATCTTAAGTCTTGTAAAAGTGAAATCTAAACTTCTGGACAGTTGTAAGGACACTTCATTCACAACAACATTATCACTATATGACCATTTACCCAAGCTTTATCCCGATATAGTTTGGGTGAACTTCATGAGATATAATTAAATTATCTCATTCAAAAGGGCTACATGTTGGAGGAGATTAATGATCTTATCTTGGCTCCTTACGAGATCGCGCTTCTAAGACACACCCTAAAGTAGAATAATCAGATTAAAAGTCATCTCTAAGACACCCTGAAGAAGGTCGGCAATGTCGGCAGGGTCGGAAGAGGAACCTTCGGCAGGAAAAACATCCTTCAACAACTCTTGTAAACTTGATGAAACTGCAGCGGTGGAGGCTCCGTCTTTGTGACCGATGCGTCACAGGCATATATCTCCAGATTCCATCTCTTTCTCTGGATGATGTCACGACTTGGAACTTGTCGTCACTCGCTTAGACTCTCC